TTTATCACAGTTCACTGCTACTCTGTTTATGTTTTAATTAGCAGTGAGGATAGTACAAAAAAAATGATAAAAAAGAAATTCATAATATAACAAAATTAGATTAGTAATAATTTGATTTGTTATTGTAATATTTATTGTTGTATAATCATTTATCTCTATCTAACTTTAGATGTTTTTAATGTCGTTTCCGATTATAAAGCTAAAATTAATTCTGTAACAATTATTGTCTTTAGCGCCACTTAAGGTCAACACTATTATTAAATTGATATACATATGTATGTGTAAATAACATTCACAGGTAAAAATTTGTATTGTATTTACAACATAATAAGTGTAGAAAAATTTCTTTTTTATCGTTTCTGTATACACTTACGGGCATCCATTAAATTTACATTTTAACTTGAAGAACATTACCAGTCGGAAAAATATGTATTAGTTTAAAAACAATTAAAAATATCATGAATATTTAATAAGTTTCAACCGAGAGCGTACTGTCTTCCCTTGACTCGGAATATTCAATTTCCTACACCACTATCGGAAGTATTTTACTGTCTTCCGCGAGATTTCCGTCCGACAGAGTACTATCTTCCCCTGGTGTGTAATATACTATCTACCACACCTATTACAAAAATACGACGTCTTCTCCTGATTTCAGAGACAAAAGCATAGTATTCTCTCCCGGGTAAGACATCGAATTTATTTCTTATTTGCAAAGAACTCTACTATCTTCCGCGAGGTTTCTACTCGAGAGCATACTGTCTTCCCTTAATGCGTAATGTACCATTTACTACACCACTATCGAAAGTAGGATGTTTTTCCACGAAACCTAATCATTCCCTTCCGGATAATACACCGCATTTACTCTTTATCAGGAAAAGACTTTACCATCTTCCGCGAGGTTTCTGCTCCGGAGCATACTGCCTTCCCTTAGTGCGTAATATACTATCTACCACACCGTTATCGAAAGTACGATATCTTTGTACGAAAGCACATCATTCCCTCCCGGATAAGACACCGCATTTACTTTTTATTAGGAAAGAATTTTACTGTCTTCCGCGAGGTTTCCGTCCGAGAACGTACTGTCTTCCCTTGATGCCTAATATACTATCTGCCACACCCATAACAAAAGTACGACGTCTTTCCCAGATCTCAGGGACGAAAGCGCATCATTCCCTCTCGTGAAAGACATCGAATTTCCTTCTTATTAGGAAAGAACTCTACCATCTTCCGCGAGGTTTCCATCTGAGACCGTACTGTCTTCCCTTGATGCCTAATATACTATCTGCCACACACATAACGAAAGTAGGTACTATGTCTTTCCCTGATTTCAAGGACAAAAGCGTAGTATTTTCTCCTGGGTATGACATCGAATTTAAGTCTTATTAGGAAAAAACTTTACCATCTTCCACGAGGTTCTCCACCCACACAGAAACTACGACGTTTTTCCCCGATTACAGGGACGAATGCGCAGTATTCCTTACAGCGTAAGACATTACATTTACTCCTTATTAGGAATGGATTTTACCATCTTTTGCGAGGTTTTCACCCAAGAGTATACAGCTATCTTCTTCCCTCAGTTTAGAATCTACTATTTCTCCTCATAAAAAACGAGAATCATTTTGCCTTAGAAAAACCGGATATTGACATAGTTTAAACGGCTGTTATTTTTCTTGTGGCTGACCTGCGTTATAATTTCACGTAATACCAAGCATTTGTGCGACTTACTTTACGTATATCGTAAACGCAGTTGTAAGTTAGTTCATTTACATATGATAATTATGTAAGTTGTGCCAATAAACTGGAAAACAGAGTTGTTTGTTTTTCGCATTTTGAATCGGATCCAAAACAGAAAATACAATAGAGCGTTTCTGCGCAAGGAATGTTGAATGCTATATTTTAAATTGGTAAACAAGCAAAAGTTACGAATTTGTTACATATTTTTACTTTATCGCGCCATTCTGCCTATTACGGTATATTTTTAATTTACACATATACACACACATGCGTCCGCATAAGAGTTCATGCTTATTTAATTCTCAATAACAACAATACAGCACATATTATGTAGTTTGTTTATTAAAAGTGGGAGTGTCGAATCGTTTTCTGTACCACGTGTTCCATGTCGGGAGAGGCGGGTTTCTTTATCTAGCAGGCGATCGTCGGGTTTATCGGCATTCATTTTAGTGACGTTACTGACGATTCAGCTTGTGATTAGTTAATTAACAAGGGTAAATATTAAAGAGTTGAAGATGTCGGGGTCCGCTTTTATGAGACAATTGTCAGAATCGAAACCGATACCGAACAGGAGAGATTCCGAATCTCTAGACTCCACAGGAAGTTACTCCACCACTCCTGGTGGCTCCCTGTATTCCACCACCCCGGGAGGTAAGTAGATGACGCAAATCCTTAATACACTGACTGGGAAGAAATTTATTTTACGAAAATGCTAACAAATATCTGCTATAATAATATGTTAAATTTTTCGGTTTTAATGTTACCTTGAATTAAAATACGTATACAGAGGCTACAGCATACATTAAATTTTATTACACGGCCCGGTAAAGTGCCCTTGAACTGTGAGTGTCTGCGTATGTCCGAAAGATGACTAAATTATGTCTGAAGAGTTTTTTTTTTAATTCCGCTTTCTGTTTAATTAGGTACACAATTTTCATTGTTCAAAGCAAACCGTTGTTAATTACCTATTAATGGATTAGACGCTATGTACCTATAGCTTGAGTAATCCATTAACTGATTATGTATTTAATTATTATTGATTTAGTTATCATCTTTTTCAAATAAAATCGGTAATAGTTCTGCAAATATACGTGTGCACACCCTGTATGTTTACATTTTCTGAAATATTTTAACGATTTTTTAATTTTTTAATCAGTTAAGGAAAAGATAAAGAAGACTTGATTATTTCTTAATATGCTCAAGTGTAATTTTTTGGCGCCGCTTACCAAATGTTATTTCGGATTTAGATACATAAAGGCATTTTGTGCTGGCGTCCCGGCTCTCACAAATTAACTCCATCCAAATCTGATTACGTTTTTACCCTGGAATCCGTAACATTTTTTAAGTACGTAGTAAAGTGAATATTTTGTATTTGTTCATCGTTTGTCTGATGTAACAGGGACACCCCCACCTTATCTGTGCCCATAGGCCCCCAGTGCTAAATCCAGCGTTAGTTACGCATTTCTGTAACAAATATTGTTCAAACTCACACGCAAAGTGCAAAGACTTGAGAAAGTTCTAAATTCATCTCATCATCAGACGAACGCAAGTATGTATTAAAGGCGTGTGGGATTATTGACGCATGTTTTTCACTGATTATGATTACATGCACACGAATGTTTTGTAATCCAAGTAACATTTGAATTGAAAAGGCGCAATTTAACTCTCGCCAGCCAGTACCGATATAGATACAATTGATAGGAGTTATTATCTGGACTTCAATTTACAAAAACGGTATCTTTTAATTTTTGTAGGCACTGGACTGCCATGAAAATATGTATAATATGTGTAGCGTCCTTGAGAATGTGTTAGCGAAAATTGCGCACTTCGCGAAATTTATTGGCATGGCTGATAATATTTTACACACAGAAAGTGAATGTTAGCAGACTTTCAGTAGATGTACAGGGTGTGTTTGCTAATATTTATTAAAGCAAAAGACATACTTTCGTATTAGTATTTATAATTAATATCTGATAATGCTCATTCATTCATTTTTTTTTATTTGAAATATTCATCGACGTTTTAAATAATGCATTGTTTTCGAACTCATAAATATTCCTAGTTGGTTTTTTGCTTAGTATTCGTTAGCAATGACTGGTGCGTTAATTCAAAAGACAAGTCATCACGTGTTTCATTATTATGCGACAAAAATGCAAATGTCCACGTTTGACCGGAACATATAAGTACCTTTAAAATGTCCAAGTCGTAGATAACACTTTTAATTAGCTTGAAAATATAACCGACTTGTATGAGACACTCTGTATATGTATTATTTGTTGTGGCGTTTGAGAGACAACAATATTCCTTCGTACAATCAGTGTGTTAACATGAAATTATGATGAATCGACCATCGATAGGCATTTTGCAATTGAAAAATTTACTTCAGGCTCGAAAATTGTTTATGACAAGTCGTTTCTGTTGACCCTTCGGAATTCGCCGCTTGCAAGAACACCTCCCCAGTACTATCTGCCCGACAACGTTATCAAAGGGTCCCCTCATACGAAAAATGGGTACAACAAGGCACAGAAGAGGACCATGTTTAGAAGGTATTCGAACCAAAACAGCTGCGAAGATCACTCCGAACAGTTCCAGTTAGAAATTTAGTTTCTACCTTTACGTTTTTATATTATAATTATTGTTATTATTCTAAACAATNAAATAAAATATATATATATATTTATTTTCCCCTGAAATATTTTAATTTATACTTTTAGAAATAATTTATTCAAACTTTGACATTCTAGAATTTAAATAATCAGTTAATTAGTACTTTTACATCTGCGTAAAGTTTGATGTCTTATTAATATTATACAGGTGCTGAATTATAATGTTATTATGAGTATAAATAGTGGGAATTGTATCATCTTTTCTAAAAATTCTGTATAGATAACATACATAATGTTATCATCGTGTGATCGGTAGGTAAATAATAGAATACCTATGTAAATAGGTATGTAAGAAACTGCGTCTCAAAATAAAGGAAAGATAAGATACCATACGAATCGAAGTACCTATACATTTTTGCTTAAAATTAGAGATGTCTATGTACCAATATTTGCAATTTTATAACCTATTGCATCATACGTTTATTCAGACATAATAAAAAAAAAAATATTTCGCTAATAATAAAAGATGTGAAACAAAAGATAAATAGGTGTCTCGTCTATGTTTCTTAAAAAAATGTTTATATCTTATATTTCCATCAAAATAAACAGGGTGTGTGGCGTAAATAAGGGAATTAAAGTTTTTTTTTAACAATAGTATGAAAATATGTATAAGGGGGAGGGGGCAGAAAGGAAACTCCGTAATTTTTAGAATGAGGAGTTCAAGAATATTTTTTTTTTTAATATTTACGGAGCGGTACCTTTAAAGCTATTTTTAATTACCACTAAAGTAGATTAGTAATAAATATTAACAAAAGAGAAATGGTAGAAGGCATTCAATTGTTATTGTTAATTTGTTTGAATCATATACGATATCGTCTAGATTCTAAAATGAATGAGGTACAGTTTTAATCGCAAAAAGTGACACTAAAAAACTTTTTAATTGCATTTTATATTGATTTCTAATCAGTTGATATCAAAAAGAAAATACGCAGTTTGATTCTAAGTAAACTTAATATGCAACAATGGACCGTTCACTTTTTTTACGCGAAGTTTTTATTTGTTTATTGTTCTATAATTTGCTATACACGACGGAAAGCGTATTTAAGTACATATAAAACAAGTCGTGAACATTCATAACGACAATAACTATCCACATATTTGAAAACTGACTCAAAACATTTACTGTAATATTGTTGTTTCCTTCGTAGAAATGGAAGAAAAAAGTAATTAAGACATAATAACATAATTTCTATCGTCGCCTATGTAAGCATTAAAATCAGACATAGTATGCGCCATTTATGACATAAAAAAAATTAAATAACTGTTAGCAAAGTAACGTTAATTAATTCCTTGGCCTTTCGAATAAATACTATACCAATAAATAATAGTAATAATAATAATATACATGAAACCCGTACAGTAAAATATCAGAAAAATGCGTATTTTTTATTATGCTTACATGCATCATAAATGTAAATTTTATAACTTATTTACTATGTATGTTATTGTACATATTTTCTTTAACTCATGTCGATGCAAATAGGCAGTCGTATTAAAATTAAAAAAAAAAAAAATGAAATTGCGACGCAGCATTTCCTTTAAAAAATTTTCTAAATATTTTCTTCATCCTTCTTAGAAATAGTGAATTTTGATCGGATTCGTTAATCTTTTATTTTACATACGTATAAATGAATAACAATTAGATCATCTATGTT